TTGAATGTAAAATGACTACCTAAGTTTTTTTTTGGTGTAAACTCATTAAATTCAAAGAGGAAAAAAAAAAGATAATGGAATGTTTCCACAAACATTTTGAAGTTTCCTTGCATAAGTAAAGCAATGATATAATTTATCATTCAAATTGAAACACTAATCAGAGTGAAAAGGAAACTATTAATAATCATGTAAGCATAAACCAGGATTGCCTCAGGTACACCAGAACATATGATTACCCTCTACACAATGAAACTTTTACCTTCTCAAGAACATTGTCTAAAACATAATGAGAGCAAATGAATAAGCACAGAGAGGTAAATAAGAACTCAGTATAAAGGTTCTTATGGCCCCCAAAATTCTTTGAAACTCCTCTCATTGAGAAGTGAAGTCTGTGTCCCTATTTGACCACCTGATCAATAGAGCCAGTGAAAGGACACTTGTGCGAGTTCTGGACCCAGGCTTTCAGAAATTGGCAGCTTCCTCTTTCTGTATCTTGGTAGTGCTCTTCAGGTCATCTAGATCCTTAATGGTTTCCGGCCTGCTTGATCTCTCAACTAGGGATGCGAAGGTACTAACATCTCCAGTTACAACAGTGATTTGTCTATTCATCCTTTCAATTCCATCACTTTTTCATGTGCTGCTGATAGAAATGAATTGCCAAATCTTCTTGAAGAATAGACCCACCATTAGTATTATATAATGTCCTTTACACTTGATAATCATCATTGTTCTGAAATCTACCTTGCTAAAATTAGCACAGCTACTCCAGCTTTCTTTTTATTAGTGTTAGCATGGTATATCTTTCTACCCCTTTACTTTTCACCTGTCTAGGAGGTGGACTGTGTTTAATGCTTGCTGTCGTTTTAAGTAATGATGCTGTTAGGTGCCATTCAGTTGGTTCTAACTCATAGCAACACTATGCACAACAGAACTAAATACTGCCAGGTCCCACCATCTTCATAATTGTTGTTATGGTTGTTGCCACTGCGTGGTGGTCTTTCTCTTTTTGGCTGACCCTCCACTTTACCATGCATGATGTCCATCTCCAGGGACTGGTTCCTTCTGATAAGATATCAGAAGTATGAGGGATGGAATCTCGCCAACTTTGTTTCTAAGGAGCATTCTGATTGTACTTCTTATAAGATCTGTCTGTTCTTCTGGTAGTCCATGGTACCTTTAATATTCTCCTCCAACATAATAACTCAAACGAACTGATTTCTTCTATGGTCTTGCTTTTTCATTGTCCAAATTTCACATGCATGTTGAAATACCATGGCTTGGGTCAGGTGTACCTTAGTTTTCAAAGTGACATCTTTATTCTTTAACTTTATTTAAACACCACTGCTTATCCTACAGAAACATACCAGGACTGAAAAACCCTACTTTTTCAACTCTCACCTATGCACAAGGAGATGGCACCTGAAAACACCATTTACTCCATATGCTTTTTAAACAAATTCACTTTCTTCATTTGTAATTTGTAATGCCATGCTTTATGTGTAAAATTATAAAACTAACATTGTACTCTAATGCAATGCTGCCATTTTCATCTCTGTGACTAACTGTGTGGTTACAGGATTGAACTTTGAAGTGAGCTGTAATAATAAGCTTTGGCCCATGGACCCAAAATCTCAAAGAAATTAGAGTAGCTCTAATGAGGAACAGAGGGTGAGTCTCAGGAGCATTCTACAGTAAAATGTCGGTGGCTAAATAAATCCTGCAACAAAATGTACTCAAATTTGCCTCTTTTTTTGTATGTTTATGGGCCCTAGCTGATGTAGATAGGGACTCCTGGTATGGCGCTGTAGGATCAGCACTGGACTGCGAACCACAAGGTCAGCAGTTTAAACCCACCAGCTGCTTCTTTCTCAGAAAGCCTACACAGGGTCACTATGAGTTGGAACCAACTCAGCACTTAACAACAGCAAGCTGGTATAAACAGTAAACATGCTTGGTTACTACCTGAAAAGATGGAGGTTTAAATCTACCCAGAGGTGCTTTCAAGAAAGTCCTAGTGATCCACTGCCCTCTAACCCCCCCAAAAAAAATCAGTCTTTGAAAACACTATGGAACACAGGTCTACTCTGACAAACACTGGGTTCACCCTGAGTTGGAATCAACTCAATAGCAACCCAGTTTTTAACCTTTCAAAACTTTGGAAGTCAGCATGGCTATCCATCCAGGTGTCAACACTTAACAATTTAAACTGCAATAAACCAGAAGCCCAACATTTCCATCTGGGGATTTTTAACTTTTAGAATTCTTCGAACTCCTCCTGATTGTGTTTCAATGGGGTTGGCCTTCAGGGCAAACAGAAAGAACTACATCTTTAATCTCACCTACTCTGAAAAGGTGGTTAACTTCTGCCTTTCTTCTTGCTGCTGCTTGTTTTAATTAACAGCATTTCTTTCTCCAATTTCTCCTGGGGCTTTGAAGAGCTCTTTGAAATGTATTTAGTATATTTCAGTCTTGGTTTGGCCTGGTCTCTCAATTTATGAGGTCATTTAATTAAAGTTCAATTATTCAGCACAAATTGGCAGAATAAAATGCTAAAAGAAGATTGGCACTTTCAATGACATAAATCTCATGTTACATAAAGTGAGCAAATTTCTCCATTGTTCTTATTGACCTCTGAGATAACAATTACCAGCTGGCACAAACCGGTGTAGTCAGGCTTCTGTGTTTAGCAGTCTCCGATAAAAATAAGGCTTTGGCATCTCTACCTCAATAGGCCCTGGATCAGGAGCCCCCTGAGACAACTTAGCCTGATTAAGTGCAACACTCTAATTCCAGAGGTGAAATAAAGAACAGGTGCTTTTTATCTAAGTGGCACAAGAGGTGATGGTGGTGGAAGTGTGCTGTGGAGTCAGTTCCCACTCACAGTGACCCTGTACAGGGTTTCTGAGGCTGTAAATCTTCATGGGAGCAGAAAACCTCATCTTTCTCCCGCGGAGAAGCTAGTAGTTTCGAACTGTTGACCTTGAGGTTAGCAGCCCGATTCATAACCACTACGCTACCAGAGCTCCTTGGCACGTGAGGTAGGAGAAAGCGAAAGACAAGCAGTTTGGGCTTCACAACTCCTTTGGATTTAGCAGGCAGGAAGAAAGAGAATCCTATCCCAGGTGAGAGTCAAGATGCATTGCTTCTCATTGGGGGTAAATCCTGGAAGTGGGGGAGGAGTCAAGCATCTGAGGGAGAATTAGGTGTGCTCCTCTAATGGACACCAATGCACTGAGGAGAATGTGAGTCTAATCACATCTCAAGTTTAGAGACAAGGAGGCCGTGGGCATGAAGTTCTTTTATAAAACTGGCTCAGCAAAAAGAAAAATTAAAATAAATTATTTTCATAAATAAATACTAAAAATAAAACAGCCTGACATTCATGAGTGTCCACATACAACGAACCATCAACTACTCCAAATTTTATTCCTTAGAGACAATTAAACATTAAAATTCACACACAACATCTTTACCTAATCAGACTTTGTGCAACCATCATAATGAATCAGTTTGACTTTACTTTAAGGCTCTCAACAAATTTAATGCCAAGTTTGATAACCAAAGGGTGAAAATCTCATTATGGTTACCTGAGGAATAAACACAAAAGTATCTGGAATCTGTAAGCGTATGTACAGTGACCAGGGAGAGCTGATTTAAAACCATGTGAGATTGGGAATTCTGAACTCAGTCATCACTAGAGAGAACACATCTAAAATACTTGACTCAACATCATCTTCTCTTGTTTTTTTGTTTTTGTTTTTTTGAAATTCCACACCAATTTACCTAGGCCTGTCTTATAACACTACATTCACCTTGTGCAGAATTATTTATACATATGTCACATCTCCTTCCCACCACTCTTTTATCATTTTGTCAGATGTGGTGGGTTATGTGTTGCTGTGATGCCAGAAAACAATAACACTGATAGTTTAAATACAAGCAGGCTCAACATTATGGACAAGTTTCAGCAGAACTTACAGGTTAAGAAGAAGGACATTCAGACCACATCTGAAAGGATAGTTACTGAAGACCTTATTAATAGCAGTAAAACAGTGCTGCATGATAAACCCTTCAGGTTGGAAGTTATTCAAAATATGAGTGAGGAAGAGTTGCCCCCTCAAGGTAGAGTTGACCTTCATTTGCTTCTGGGGCACAACTCAAAATGAGGAAAAACAGCTCTAAACATCCATTAATATTCAGAACATGGAATATATGAAGTACGAACCTAGGGAAATTGGAAGTTGTAAAAAATTAAATGGAAAACAAAAAGATTCATATCCTAGCTGAAATGGACCAGCATTGGCAATTTTGGATCTGACAATCACATGGTTTACTATGCTGGGAATGACAAATTGAATAGGATTGGAGTCCCATTCATCAATAAAAAGAACATTTGAAGATCTATCTTGAAGTATAGTGCTATCTATGATAGGAAAATATCCATATGCTCATAAGGAAGACCAGTTAAAACAACTATTATTCAAATGCATGCACAACCACTAAAGCCAGTGATGATTACATTGAAGACTTCTACCAATTTCTTCGAAAATCCTGGTGTGGCGCTGTGAATTAATGCACCAGACTGCAAAGCCATTTGAACTGCAAGGTCGGTGGTTCAAGCTCACCAGCTACTCCTTGGAAATGCTATACAGGGTCACTAACCGACTTGACAGCACTTCACAACAACACAACAACAAACTGACTTCTTCAGTCCGAAATTGGTGACACAGGCAATCAAGGTGTACTGATGGTTACTGGCAATTCAAATGCAAAAGTTGGAAACAGAGAATAAGGATCAGGGGTTGGAAAATATGGCCTTGGTGATAGAAATGATGCTGGAGATCACAAGATAGAACTTTGCAAGACCAATGACTTCTTCATTACAAATGACTTTTTTAAACAACTACATACAAAGACCTCACTAAAAGGATTACACAGAAATCAAATTGACTGCATCTGTAGAAAGAGACAGTGAAAAAGCTCCATCCATATAACCAGTAAATATCCCTCATGAACAATGTCAGGGACAGTCTTTGGAGCAGAGCATTAATACCTTATATGCAAGTTCAGGCTGTAGCTGAAGAAAAATTTTTTAAAGTCCACAACTGTCAAAAATGACCCTGAAAATATCACTCTTGAATTTAGAGATCATCTGAAGAACACAGTTTATGAATTAGACACTAATAATCAGAAACTGGAAGAGTTGTGGGATGACATCAAGAACATCATAGAGGAAGAAAAGGAAAGGTCTTTAAGAAAAAAAAAAGGGTCAATTGAACATGACATAACTATGACGAACATCTACGCTCCCAATGAAAGAGCTCCAAAATACATAAAGCAAACTCTAATAGATGTAAAGAAATAGACAAATCTACCATAATTGTTGTTAGGAGACATCAAGTCGTTACCGACTCATAGCGACCTCATGCACAGCAGAACAAAACACTGCCCGAACCTGAGCCAACCTCACTACTGTTGCCAAGCTTGAGTCAATCGATGCTGCCACTTGGCCAATCTATCTTACTGGGGGTTTTCCTCTTTTTCTCTGACCCTCCTTAAATTTACAAACATCAAAATACTACAAAGCATCTTCTCAGACTATAATGTTACAAAATTAGAAACCAACAATAGGAAGGACAAGGAAATAAATTCAAATACATAGATACTGAAAAACATCCTCCTGAAAAGCAACTGGGTAGTAGAAAAAATAAAACGTAAATTCACAAAGTTCCTAGAAAAAAAAAGAATGAAAACACAACATACCAAAATCTTTAAGACACAGCAAAAGCAGTGCTGGCAGGACAATAAATTTATTGCAATAAATGCACACATCCAAAAAGAAGAAAGAACCAAAATCAACATATTAACACAACATTTCCAACAACTAGAAATGGACCAGCAAAGTAAACCTACAGTCAACAGAGGAAAGGAAATAATAAAGATTAGAGCAGAAATAAATGAGAAAAAGACAGAAAAATTACAGAAAGATTCAAAAGGGAGAAAAGCTGGTTCTTTGAAAGAATTAAAAAAAATAGACAAACCATTTGCAAACTTAACAAAAGAAAAGAGGGAGGTGACACAAATAATATGCATAAGAACTACATGGGTGATGTCACAACAGAACCAATAGAAATAAAAAGGATAACAACAGAATATTATGAAGAGTTGTACTCCAACAAATTTGAAAATCTAGAGGAGACGGATACATTTACACAGAAGCATGAACTACCTAAACTTACACAGAGTGAAGTAGAAAACTTGAACAGACCTACAACAAAGGGAGAAATTGAAGAGGTCATTAAAAATCTCCCAACCAAAAGAAGTCCAGGCTGAGATGGCTTCATGGTGAGTTTTACCAAATATTCAGGGAAGAGCTGTCACCAAATCTACTCAAATTATTCCAGAATGTAGAAGAGGATGGAAAACTTCCTAATACTTTTTATGAATAAAGCATAACCCTCATACCAAAACCAGAGAAGGACATCACTAAGAAAGAAAATTATAGACCAATAACCCTCATGAAACAGCCACCACTTGTCTGTCTGTCGTGCTGTGGTGGTTTGAGTTGCTGTGATTCTGAGGGCTATAACACCAGCATTTTAAATAACCGGCAGGGTCACCCATGGTGGACAGGTTTCAGATGAGCTTCCAGACAAAGACAGACTAGGAAGAAAGAGTGAAGAACTATTTCCAAATCACTAGTCACTGAAAACTCTATGAATAGCAGAGAAACATTGTCAGATACAGGACCGGAAGGTGGGAAGGCACTCAGAATGCAACTGGGGAAAAAAATGCCTCCTCAAAGTAGAGTTGACCAAGATGACGTGAATAGAGTTAAGCTCGGGGGAGAAAAACCCACAGAACCTTCATTTGCTGATGGGCCACAACTCAAGATGAAGAGAAACAGCTGTAAACATCCAATGAAAATCGGAAAGTGGAATGTGCGAAGTATGAATCCAGGAAAATTGAAGTTCTCAAAAACGAAATGGAACACATCAACATCGATATCTTAGGCATTAGTGAGCTGAAATGGATTGGTATTGGCTATTTTGAATCTGACTACCACATGGTTTACTATGCAGGGAATGACAAATTGAAAAGGAATGGTGTTGCATTCATCATCAAAAAGAACATATCCAGATCAGTCATGAGGTACAATGCTGTAAGTGATACGATAATACACATGCGCCTACAGGGAAGCCCAGTTAATAACACTATTATTCAAATTTATGCACCAACCACTAAAGCCAGTGAGGTTGAAATAGAAGAATTCTACCAACTTCTTCAATCTGAAATCGATGAAACATGCAATCAAGATATATTGCTCATTACTGGTGATTGGATGCAAAGGTTGGGAGCAAAGAGGAAGGACCAGTAGTTGGAAAATTTGGACTTGGTGATAGAAATAATGCTGGAGAACGAATGATAGATTTCTGTAAGATAAATGATTTATTTCAAATACCTTCTTTAGACAGCATAAGAGACGAGTATACACATGGACCTCACCAGATGGAACACATAGAAATCAAATTGACTATATCTGTGGAAAGAGAAGATAGAAACGCTCCATATCATCAGTGAAAACAAGGCCAGGGGCAAACTGTGGAACAGACCATCAATTACTGATATGCAAATTCAAACTGAAGCTGAAGAAAATTAAAACAAATCTACGAGAGCCAAAATATGATCTTGAAACAATGGTAAATTGCTACAATTTGCTAAACTTGACCTATATTCATGGAGGTTGTAGCTCAAAATAGTAGC